ACTAATTCTAAATGCCACGAGGCCATTTATAAGTGTTTGTACATTTCGCTCTAGGATTGAATAGCCGTCAATCGTAGAGAGCGGCGAAGCCTTGCGTGATGCCTAACTCCAGCTTCTAGTTACACACAGAAATCACAACAGCGGATGTATCAAATGAACAAATCCACAAGGGCCGTGACGAGGGTTCGAACCCTCGTCACGGCCCTTGTGGATTTGTCCAGCTTCTAGTTGTCCACCGGGTCCTCTAGCTTCCCTCTGGATCAATGGAGGACAGCTGTATGCTCCAAGTCGTATTCCACTGAATGTCGATTACTGGTGTCGGCTCCGGAATGAACACGTCCTCAAGCACACGGAGCCGCCTACGATCATCAGTGTGTGTGATTACTGCCTGTCCTCCACTATGTCTTGACGATTCAGGATGGTGTTGTAACTGATGTTGCTTACTGTTGCCTGTTGTTACTGTAACTGTTGCTCAAATCTCTTTAAATACGTAGAAACCCCGCAGAAATATAATGACTCACAGCAGGGGTGACTTAACGTCAAAAGTTGAGTAATTCGTGTAACCCAGTTGATGTAGACGAGTTGTGATGGTCCGCGGGGCCAGGTACAAGGAGCATGGGCCTTGAGCTGGTTCTGAGGGAGGGAGAGACGAAAGGTCATAACATTTACAGAGCAGCAGCCCATCCCACGCACCCCTACAGAGCCATGGCGTGCACCGGTGCCGCTGTAGAGAGAACACCCACAAGGGACCTCCACCACAGTGTAAGGCAACCCAGGCTCTTACTGAAAAGGGTCTCTCTGAATTGTTCAGGTTTATGTTTGTGAGTTCAATAAATATTTATGTCCAGGTTTTCGTTAGCGAGTATTTAAAACATAAGTGTCCACTTTCATTCATTAGGGTGAAAGAAACTTTGTCCATCTGTTGCCGCCGACGCCGGGATCGAACCCTGATCCTAGGATTACGAGTACTAAACGCTGTCCACTCAGCCACAGGCCCCTGTGTGTGTGTGTGTGTGTGTGTGTGTGTGTGTGTGTGTGTGTGTGTGTGTGTGTGTGTGTGTGTGTGTGTGTGTGTGTGTGTGTTAGCGTTGTCCCTCGATGGACCGGATGTTGATTCTCTCACTTGAAAGGTATTTGTCTGTGTGGAACGTAATTAGTGGCGAAATGTTCTTTGTATTGAGGTAAGGAAGGTGACCACGACTGCTGCCTCACACCCCCAAGAACTGAGGGATAGCTGCACTGTACCAAAGACACAGTGCTATAAATAGTACTGAGATAACCTTCCGCTTTACGGGCTCACCATAGCCCGTGCTACTGGCACATTTTAATCTGAGTAGCTAAATCTAAAACAGCAACAACAACCACCTTCCGCTATCCTGCTCTGTCACTTTTGTCTCTGAGAGGGGAAAGGTTTTTTGGTGTATGTATATATGTGTGTGTCAAAAGTTAACTCATGTGTGTGTATATATTTACTATTTGTGTGTTTGTATTCACCTAGTTATATTCACCTAATTGTGTTTGCGGGGGATGTGCTCTGGCTCTTTCGGGCCGCTTCTCAACTGTCAATCAACTGGTGTACAGATTCCCGAGCCTACTGGGCTCTATCATATCTACAATTGAAACTGTGTATGGAGTCAGCCTCCACCACATCACTGCCTAATGCATTCCATATGTCAACTACTCTGACACTGAAACAGTTCTTTCTAATATCTCTGTGGCTCATTTAGGCACTCAGTTTCCACCTGTGTCCCCTTGTGCGTGTGCCCCTTGTGTTAAATAGCATGTCCTTATCTACCCTATCAATTCCTTTGAGAATCTTGTATGTGGTGATCATGCCCCCCTTAACTCTTCTGTCTTCCAGCGACGCAAGATTTAATTCCCGTGTACTCACCTAATTGTACTCACCTAATTGTGCTTGCGGGGGTTGAGCTCTGGCTCTTTGGTCCCGCCTCTCAACCGTCAATCAACTGGTGTACAGATTCCTGAGCCTATTGGGCTCTATCATATCTACATTTGAAACTGTGTATGGAGTCAGCCTCCACCACATCACTTCCTAATGCATTCCATTTGCTAACTACTCTGACACTGAAAAAGTTCTTTCTAACGTCTCTGTGGCTCATTTGGGTACTCAGCTTCCACCTGTGTCCCCTTGTTCGCGTCCCACCAGTGTTGAAAAGTTCATCCTTGTTTACCCGGTCGATTCCCCTGAGGATTTTGTAGGTTGTGATCATGTCCCCCCTTACTCTTCTGTCTTCCAGTGTCGTGAGGTGCATTTCCCGCAGCCTTTCCTCATAACTCATGCCTCTTAGTTCTGGGACTAGTCTAGTAGCATACCTTTGGACTTTTTCCAGCTTCGTCTTGTGCTTGACAAGGTACGGGCTCCATGCTGGGGCCGCATACTCCAGGATTGGTCTGGTCTTACATATGTGGTGTACAAGATTCTGAATGATTCCTTACACAGGTTCCTGAACGCCGTTCTGATGTTAGCCAGCCTCGCATATGCCGCAGACGTTATTCTCTTTATGTGGGCTTCAGGAGACAGGTTTGGTGTGATATCAACTCCTAGATCTTTCTCTCTGTCTGTTTCATTAAGTACTTCATCTCCTATTCTGTATCCTGTGCCTGGCCTCCTGTTTCCACTGCCTAGTTTCATTACTTTGCATTTACTCGGGTTGAACTTCAACAGCCATTTGTTGGACCATTCACTCAGTCTATCCAGGTCATCTTGTAGCCTCCTACTATCATCCTCTGTTTCAATCCTCCTCATAATTTTTGCATCGTCGGCAAACATTGAGAGGAACGAATCTATACCCTCTGGGAGATCATTTACATATACCAGAAACAGTATAGGTCCAAGGACTGACCCCTGCGGGACTCCACTTGTGACGTCTCGCCAATCTGAGACCTCACCCCTCACACAGACTCGTTGTCTCCTGTTGCTTAGGTATTCCTCTATCCACCGGAGTACCTTCCCTCTCACTCCAGCCTGCATCTCCAACTTTCGCACTAGCCTCTTGTGTGGCACTGTATCAAAGGCTTTCTGACAATCCAAAAATATGCAGTCTGCCCACACACAGTCGTGTGTGTGTGTGTGTGTGTGTGTGTGTGTGTGCAGGCTAGGCTGGTGGTGACGGGAGCAGCTAGGCTGGTGGTGACGGGCGCAGCTAGGCTGGTGGTGACGGGCGCAGCTAGGCTGGTGGTGACGGGAGCAGCTAGGCTGGTGGTGACGGGCGCAGCTAGGCTGGTGGTGACGGGCGCAGCTAGGCTGGTGGTGACGGGAGCAGCTAGGCTGGTGGTGACGGGCGCAGCTAGGCTGGTGGTGGTGTGGTGGTGATAGTGAAGGCTAGACAACAGTAGGGATGGTGAGAGGGAGCGCTGTCTTGGTACCGTTGTTGTCCTCCGGGTCTACGCCTAGTCCCTGAATCCGCCGCCCACGCCCGCCGCCCACTACCTCCGCCCACTACCACTACAGCTGGTCACTACCCCTACGGTTGCTACCACTGATTGCAAGTCATTATTATTGCACTTCCAGAACTATTTTATGTTTACAAAGAGGGAGGTGTCGGCTACCCAAGAGGGAGGTGTCGGCTACCCAAGAGGGAGGTGTCGGCTACCCAAGAGGGAGGTGTCGGCTACCCAAGAGGGAGGTGTCGGCTACCCAAGTGGGAGGTGTCGGCTACCCAAGTGGGAGGTGTCGGCTGCCCAAGAGGGAGGTGTCGGCTGCCCAAGTGGGAGGTGTCGGCTGCCCAAGAGGGAGGTGTCGGCTACCCAAGAGGGAGGTGTTGGCTGCCCAAGAGGGAGGTGTCGGCTGCCCAAGTGGGAGGTGTCGGCTGCCCAAGTGGGAGGTGTCGGCTACCCAAGTGGGAGGTGTCGGCTGCCCAAGTGGGAGGTGTCGGCTGCCCAAGTGGGAGGTGTCGGCTACCCAAGAGGGAGGTGTTGGCTGCCCAAGAGGGAGGTGTCGGCTGCCCAAGTGGGAGGTGTCGGCTGCCCAAGAGGGAGGTGTCGGCTACCCAAGAGGGAGGTGTCGGCTACCCAAGAGGGAGGTGTCGGCTACCCAAGAGGGAGGTGTCGGCTGCCCAAGTGGGAGGTGTCGGCTGCCCAAGTGGGAGGTGTCGGCTGCCCAAGAGGGAGGTGTCGGCTACCCAAGTGGGAGGTGTCGGCTACCCAAGTGGGAGGTGTCGGCTACCCAAGTGGGAGGTGTCGGCTGCCCAAGAGGGAGGTGTCGGCTGCCCAAGAGGGAGGTGTCGGCTGCCCAAGTGGGAGGTGTCGACCAACACGTGGGAGCTGTCGACCAGCAAGTGGGAGGTGTCGACCAGTTGACACCCAGCTGACCAGCTCACCTTTACACACTCACACCCACTCTTGAAAATATAATCCCCTGCGATTCTAGTCTAAATGACCATCATTTACAGGGTGGAGTAAAAACTACTAATCCTGTGAAATATTCCTACATAACAGTTTATTCCTCACGTGAGTCAGGGTCCAGTGAAACAAGATAACACTCGCGCGCGCATTGAAGTCTCTCTCACACTGATGCGCTAGAAAACCCCTATATCATGATATCAAGACGTCGCTACTTTTACCGTACAAGTAATATCGTGGAGGTGAATGTTTGGGAGTGATGCAAGGCGATAATATGAAGATCAGAGCTGAGATTGTGTGTGTAATGAGGGGTGGCACTTGAGACGTCTGGCGCAACACTTTAGACCCACAGCTGATCCACCTACACCTGTCACTGGGGTGTTGCTCGCCTCTCCTCGCCGCTGTAACACTCATTCAACACACCTTACACTCGCCAGAAGTCACATATATACACACATTTGACTGTATAATGGGGTGAAATAGGCTGGAGGAGACAGTAAGGTGGGTGTGTGGGCTGGCTCAAGGCCTTCCAGACAACCTCGCCCAGGCATCTTGGCAGGCGCCTTACTTGCCTCCTGTTCCCTATTCACCTGATAATAACAGCCCCTGGCTGGACCAAGAGGCTGCTGGGTACTCACCAGTAGCAGTATCACAGCAGCTGTCGAATCCATGACTGAAACAGAAGATAAACCCAACATCAGAAGGTTGTTTGAGCGTGAAAGTGAGATCTATTCTCACTCCTCAAGCAGTCTAAACCCATCACCTTGGCACTAAACTAAGATAATTCCCGTCTTACCTAGTAAATCCACCGGGTTTTTTGCCAATAGGTCCTACTAAAGTTTAGGACAGCATAAACCTAAATTTGGCACGACACGATTTGATAATCCAGTTAAAATCGCTCGTGTTACACGGAGGTTCACTAAACACACTCTCACTCGTCCGCCATCTTGGAGTCTCGCCACCTGGGTTAACATGGCGTCCGCCTACACAAGACGAGAGTGAGCGATCGCTCAGACACGTTCCATAATGCTTGATGAATCGTGACACTGGAAATCGTATCTTTTCCCCTTAAAGTTAGGAAAGTGAGGCTGTTACATTCGTTCATTAAATTATTTGTATTTTTCCGTGTAGAAATAAAGCTCGGAGAATACTTCTCAAAGGTGTTATAGAGGTGAGAACTAGCAGCTTGGCAGAGCCCTCGACCAGTCTCTGGAGACACGAGACGCAACACGGCGAGAAATTTTCCAACGTTGGTAACGTCCGAAGGCGAGAGAGTTGCCAGAGTTTGACTTTCTGCTGATTTCACTTTCATTAAAATTACTAATGTAGCGCATTAACATCCGTATTTACCATTACATGTGATGCAAGGCTGGGCGCACTGAAACAGATGAAGACTAAGAAATGAATTTCTTAATTCAGATCCATCAGTATGACAAAATTTTAATATAAAAATCAAATGCAAAACATTTTTTGAGACCCGTAATATATGCCAATTCACAGCGTTTAAATTAAGTAACTGAAATAGTGTGTTTCATGTATAATAAAATGGAAGGCGGAGCATCATCAGGCAACCCTAACCTCCCACCCCAATCAACCTCCTGGAGCCTGATGGTATTTTATGTTTCCTTGAGTCAGAGGTGTGGGCGCCTCCCACGGTGACGTCACACACCAACACCACATACCATATATCATCTATTTATTCCCCCAAACACAAGCAGCGACCGGGTCCTTGAGTACTCTGTAGTACACTAGTTAGTTAGGTCACATTAGTAGTTAGGTCACGACGGACATCCACACGCTAGCCAACATGTGATAATTTATAATGAAGTGGAAATTCAGGAGTCCTGCACTCACGACACGAGGATATCCAAAGGCCAGCCTAGCTAGCGTAGGATGTCACAAGGCTTATTATAGGCCAGCCTAGCTAGCGTAGGATGTCACGATGCCTATTATAGGGTAGCCTAGTTAGCGTAGGAAGTCACAAGGCCCATTATAGGGTAGCCTAGTTAGCGTAGGATGTCACGAGGCCTATTATAGGGTAGCTAGTTAGCGTAGGATGTCACGAGGCCTATTATAGGGCAGCCTAGTTAGCGTAGGATGTCACAAGGCCCATTATAGGGTAGCCTAGTTAGCGTAGGATGTCACGAGGCCTATTATAGGGCAGCCTAGCTAGCGTAGGATGTCACGAGGCCTATTATTGGGCAGCCTAGCTAGCGTAGGATGTTACAAAGGTCATCAATAGACAGGATCTCACCTGCTCATTGATGCAATGGACAATTTAGCAACTTTATCATATATTCAAAACACATCAATATTTTTACAAAATTATAATTCAATCAACTAAAAAAAAAAATGTATCTTTTACAAGCTAAACAAATTATAAATACAACCGAATCCAAATATTATATACAACCCAGACAAGCTATATATCAAGCGACTAAAATATATCTATTTCCACATCGAATATAAATCAACATATCAACACAATCAAAACAAATATAATAGAATAAAGCAAACAAAACTGTATTAACAGCCCAAACAAAATTTATTTTTAACTAAATCAATTGCTTTTATCGGTGAATCCAGAGCAAATCTATTTTGATATGCACCCGAAATCAATCTATCGAGCTGCAAACTCATTGCAAACCTTTATCTACCCAAGCAAACAAGCATAGCTATCTACACAAACAAAACAATTCTACACATTTGTACAAAAAAAGCTACAAATTTGCATAACCAAAACAAACACCTTATCTATGCCCTTAAAATAAATTATTTGAAATAAACCAATATAAATCAACCTCTGTATAACCTGAACAAATGTGTGAACAAACACACTTGAACAGCATGAACACAGTTGCAGTTCAGTCTATATTTCTTACCATCTGAACGTTCCCAGAGTAATTCCGTGCTCCACCCACCTACTGCTGACGTCCCAGTGGTGCCCAGGTACTTCCGGGCTCCACCCACCTACTGCTGACATCCCAGTGGTGCCCAGGTACTTCCGGGCTCCACCCACCTACTGCTGACATCCCAGTGGTGCCCAGGTACTTCCGGGCTCCACCCACCTACTGCTAACGCTTCAATGGACTTCCCAGGTACCGCCAACACTCCAGCCTCCTTTCCTGACGCCCCAGTGGTACACAGGTACCGCACTCGCTCTACACACCTCTCAGTATCCGCCAGCGCTCCCCACACTTACCAACGTCTCACACACCTGACCGTAACACAATGCAATAGTCTCGACAGAGAATACACACACACACACACACACACACCGCTGCTTCACATCAAACACACACATAAGAACCCAACGTCCCCAGGAACATGAAGAGTCCTCGCCCCCAGGAACATGAAGAGCCCTCACCATCCTCGCCCCCAGGAACATGAAGAGCCCTCACCATCCTCGCCCCCAGGAACATGAAGAGCCCTCACCATCCTCGCCCCCAGGAACATGAAGAGCCCTCACCATCCTCGCCCCCAGCAGCATCAAGAGTAGCCCCTCACACGCCCCCAGAGGCATAGAGAAGATCCCTCCTCCCCCTCCCTCCATCACCCACCGCAGGAGCAGGGGAAATCACACAGAGCGAGCCGTCTGTCCCGCTTGGCTGGTGTCCGCAAGGTGAGCAGTTCCCAGGACTATCAGTATCGCGTGCCTGCCCACAATTACACTTGACTAAATTAGCCAAAGCCACTCCATTGTCAACTGCTCGCATTTTGCGATTTTTATAGAAAGATCGTTTAGTCTTTTAGGCTGCGGTGTCATGCTCCGCCTGAGTGGCAGAGGCTATGACTACTGAGGCTAGATTTATTGCCATATTGAGGCTATGGCAGAGGCTAAATTTATTGATATTAATTCACATAATACATATTTGTTCGTCGAGTGTCGGATAGCATGTGCATTCCTCGCTCCCATCACATCCGACTTGATAATGGTCCACGACGGACCGAAACGTCGTCGTCTCCTCATCTTCTGGTGTGTGGTTTGGTCTTCATATGGGAATTTTTATATATATTTATTCGTACTCTGGCTTTGTTGCAACAAGGAGTATACACACTTGTAATAAGGTGCTGTGTACACTTGTGATAAGGTGTGTACACTTGTAATAATGTGCTGTGTACACTAACCAGCGTTGCGTATGGAGAAATATCTCCTCTTCGTCTTAGAGAACGAATATATTATCAACAAAAACTAGGAGGCACAAAATGTAAACAATGAATAAGTGTGAGAGACATCGCTGAAGACGAGAAAAAATGGAGCATCACTATATTTGATGACTGACTGACACAACCCACGGAACCACGATGAGCTTAAATATATCTCAACCAGAATTACTACCTAACTTACTTGGTGTTTACAAGGCAGTATCCGGTACCACATTCAAGTACCTGCTCACACAGGTACCCTGGATGAGGTACCTGTGAGTTCATCATTGCTCAGTAGGTAGTGCGTGTGTTTGAGTAGTGCAAGGATCCGAGTTCGAACCCATCCCATTGTACATTATTAATTTAGTCAAACGATGGAGGTTGTTTAACATGCTAATAGGCTTCCAGAGCTGAGCTGTGATGGTAGCGCAGGGCAGCCAGGATGACGCAGGAGGTACAGCGCTGAGAGTAACGTCCTGTGGGACAATGTCATGTTGTCTCGCTCGCGTAATGGTCATCACAGTGGCGTGCGGTTAGGTGGGGAGGGGAGTGTAATCATTGTGTATTTTCCGTAGGCAAATTGCTTTCAAACTCTCTTAGCATGACTGAACCATGTAAAGGATGGACGCGGAGGGGATTGCCACTCACTACCACTGATTCTACTACCGACTGTACCACTGACGCCACCATTGTCGACACCATTGCTACTAAACTGATGACACCACTAATGGTTCTACTGGTAACCCGTCCTGTTAAAATTGATGAATGAGTCTTTGGGGTCGACTGCAGGATGGAATGGACTTTGTCTGAGGAGGGGTTGCCTATTAGTGCAATATTACATTTGTTTAATTTTTTTTTCCATGGCTCGTTTTTCTTCAATTTACCCTCTACTAACAGTCCATCCTCCTGTTTAGGTAGTACTTATAGTAACGGTGAGGACCATCTTACATATATTAACGTAAAAGGCAATTAGAAAGTAGAAATCGGTACTGTTGAATTTAGGCAAACCGGAAAGGTTCTCGTACTGATGTTACAAAGAAAACTAATGTGCTATACTAGGGATATTTAAGTTTGGTTTTTAGTTATATTTTTTTCGGAATATAAAATGAATAATAACAAAATCTACAATCTAATTGTCCATTACGTCTATGTATGAACCATTGTCCACACAGTTACAAAAAGCATTATCTAAATAGGAGGATAAGTTGTCTACTAAATATATGCTATTTCGTCTTCAAATTTAATTCTATGTTTACATTTCTGTCTCCATCTCCCATTCCCCTTCCACGCCGATATGCTTCTATCATCCACTTTCCTCCCTCTCTCCACTCACCCGACCTCCGCTCTCTCATCCACTCTCCCTCTTCACCCACCACCAACAGTAGGGTCACCTAGTACACACAGTAAGGTAGAAACTCTCACCTGCAGCCGGGCTGAGGCGGGCCTTATAGGGCGGGACTCCCCTACACTCTCCCGGGGCCTGAAGGTCGACTTTTACCCTCGGAGTCGAGGCGGTGGTAAAAGTGAGAGTCAGAGGCAAGGAAGGAAGGAAGAGGAGTCATTTTTGTGGCGGCCGTAGTGCTGGTTATGACAAGCAGCCAAGCGGCGATCACCCCCACCCTCACTACTCCTGCCGGTACCCTCCTCACCTTCACTACTGTATTCTCACTCCTGGCGGTACCGTCCTCACCTTCACTACTGTATTCTCACTCCTGACGGTACCCTCCTCACCTTCACTACTGTATTCTCACTCCTGACGGTACCCTCCTCACCTTCACTACTGTATTCTCACTCCTGACGGTACCCTCCTCACCTTCACTACTGTATTCTCACTCCTGACGGTACCCTCCTCACCTTCACTACTGTATTCTCACTCCTGACGGTACCCTCCTCACCTTCACTACTGTATTCTCACTCCTGACGGTACCCTCCTCACCTTCACTACTGTATTCTCACTCCTGACGGTACCCTCCTCACCTTCACTACTGTATTCTCACTCCTGACGGTACCCTCCTCACCTTCACTACTGTATTCTCGCTCCTGACGGTACCCTCCTCACCTTCACTACTGTATTCTCACTCCTGACGGTACCCTCCTCACCTTCACTACTGTATTCTCACTCCTGACGGTACCCTCCTCACCTTCACTACTGTATTCTCACTCCTGGCGGTACCCTCCTCACCTTCACTACTGTATTCTCGCTCCTGACGGTACCCTCCTCACCTTCACTACTGTATTCTCACTCCTGGCGGTACCCTCCTCACCTTCACTACTGTATTCTCGCTCCTGACGGTACCCTCCTCACCTTCACTACTGTATTCTCACTCCTGGTGGTACCCTCCTCACCTTCACTACTGTATTCTCACTCCTGACAGTATCGTCTTCACCTTCACTACTGTATTCTCACTCCTGACGGTACCGTCCTCACCTTCACTACTGTATTCTCCTGACAGTATCGTCTTCACCTTCACTACTGTATTTTTACTCCTGACAGTACCGTCCTCACCTTCACTACAATACAGAACAGTTTGGTCAATGCTGCTCATTCTTCATGAGACATTATGGCAGGACCGAGACCTGGTGGGCAGCACCTGTCGGCCGCTGCCCACCAGGTGTGTGGGCAGCGGCCACACCGACAAAACAAAACACCGACCTTACCTAACCTGTTAGTATCTTAAGATAAGCATCTTATTGCTTCGTAATTACAATTATTACTTAACCTATACCTATTATAGGTTAGGTAATAATTGTAATTACGAAGCAATAAGATGCTTATCTTAACATATTAAGTAGGTTAGGTAAGGTCGGTGTTTTCTATGAAGCTTTTCAAGGGAAACTATTATGTTAAGTATGTCACCTATGCACATATTTAATAAGTCAATATTGGCTTATTAAATTTGCGAGAACGGGTTGGTGGGACACACCTGTCGGCCGCTGCCCACCAGGTGTGTGAGGCCGCACCTGTCGGCCGCTGCCCAACAGGTGTGTGGGACACACCTGTCGGCCGCTGCCCACCAGGTGTGTGACAGTTGAACAGGGTTGTCAACTCCAGCAGCAGCAGAAGAAGCAGGGTTATCAACTCCAGGAGCGAAGCATAACAGCGGGCCGGGTAATCACCATTATAACAACGGCACCAGAGGCACCATAAAGCGGGCTTCTTTTTCTACTTCCTCTCCATTTTTGAGAGGAACCTTCCTCCTGTGCGCCTCTACGCACCCTCAGTGCCATGTCATAAATTATATCAACCAGTTCCTGGAAATGAAATATATATTATCGTGCAGTTTTTATTTCTTGTTGCCGCCGGCAGCAACCTTGACAGACTTCCTATATGACGGAGAGGCTCCCCCTCACCTTCCCCAACCCCATACCCCTACCTCTTACCCACCCCTCACCTTCATCCGCCCCTCATCATCACCAGCTCCTCACTTTCACCCGCCCCTCACCATCACTCACCCCCCGCTGTTTCAACCCGTCCTCGTAATAGAGCGTCGCAATTTGACTCATTTCTTACTTAAGGCCAAACATCGTCGTACTAGAAAATTGTAGCGGCTCGCGAAACTTCTGTTTGGGTCCTCTGGTAGTTAGGATAAGGCTCTTTAGTTCGATAGTATTTTCCCTTCTAGAATTGTATTCCAGTTGGCCACAGGTGTGGCGGGAGTCCAGAATGCTTCAGGCATTTCCTTTTCGGACTGCAACATTGAGGCGCTGGAACAGGAAACTATTGACTTTTGGGACTCTGGTTTCCTCAATGAGTTCATAAACACAGTCCTTCGGGAACTTTGGTGCACATTTACTCCAGGAGCCAAGGGTGGCCATACCTGTTGGCCCAAAGTGTGATTACTGTACTCACCTAGTTGTGCTTGCAGGGGTTGAGGTTTGGCTCTTTGATCCCGCCTCTCAATTGTCAATCAACTGGTGTTCAGATTCCCGTGTCCCTCTGGACATGTCCCTAGATGACTACTGTGTCCCTAGGACACAGTTTCTGTGTCCCTCGGGATATATAGGCCATCATTGTTTACAATTATGTGCCACATTGCTTACACTGTAGACCAGCAGCCACAGTGTATCACAGCCAATAGTGTTTCACGAATCGTCAACCTCCTACCACCAAATATAAGAAATATTGTTGGAACAATCAGGAACTCGAGAAGTTCCCTCTGGAGTTACCGGATCTGCGTGACTATGATGGGTACGTGGGCCTGCGGGCTAGTGGCACTTAACTAACCTCACGGACCAGTCAGTCACAACGGAAGCTACTCCCACGCCGGGCTTAGGGGTATAAGATCTCTCGAAATTGTTCACAGGTAATCCACAGATAAAAAGGAAATACACCAACATGAGGACGGCCTTCACTTCTCGGAGGACGGGGTCCCCGACCAAGACTGCGGCCGGGTGGACCTCAGAGGTATGTCCGGAGCAACAATCTCACCTGTCATCGGCTACTCACCTTGAGTAATGAGTACGGACAAAAGACGGTATCCTCAGCTGTCAACGGTTACTCACCCTGGGTACGGATCACAGTCGAGCTCTTTCAGAGGAATGAACACTCTGAGAGCGTCAGGATAGTGGGACCTCGTGAACTTTGCGGACTGGGACGAAACCGAAGATCAGACAGAGGTCAACAACAGACATTTTTTCTCTCACAACACGACGGAGCCAGACATGGGAGAGATGGTTCTCTCACAACACGACGGAGCCAGACATGGGAGAGATGGTTCTCTCACAACACGACGGAGCAAGACATGGGAGAGATGGTTCTCTCACAACACGACGGAGCCAGACATGGGAGAGATGGTTCTCTCACAACACGACGGAGCCAGACATGGGAGAGATGGTTCTCTCACAACACGACGGAGCCAGACATGGGAGAGATGGTTCTCTCACAACACGACGGCGGAAGACATGGGAGAGATGGTTCTCTCACAACACGACGGAGCCAGACATGGGAGAGATGGTTCTCTCACAACACGACGGCGGAAGACATGGGAGATATGGTTCTCTCACAACACGACGGAGCCAGACACGGGAAGGAAGGTTTTCTCATACATAAGAAAGTGAAGAATAATGTAATGATGAAGAAAACCCAAAATAAAAATGCTCGGACGAAGACGTAGAAGAATTCTATCAATACCTCCTGAATACCACATACAAAGATTACTGTTATTTCCAAATTATTTATGGTAATTTCATTGTCAAAATATGAAAACGAAAAAACAAAAAAATATTAGTTTATTATGAATTAATTTGCGAATAAGAAAGCATGTAGAAAATTGACCTTGGAAACACCTCAATCATAATATCAACTAGGCTTTATTATTCCTATTAACAAGTTCATGGTGTCAGGGTTAGTGAGAGCGACGTAAGCAGTCACAACCTCTCCTCACGCCTAATACTTCGCATTTTTACAAATTCGACCAATCTGTTAAGAATGTGACGAATTTGTAAATATTAATGGGCCGTAATATTGACATAATAATCTATGAAGCGGCCACGATAGGCTAGGTGGGTTGTTTGGGTCCGTACGCTTCTGATTAGAAGCTGAACGTTGTATTATATTAATTGTAACTCATGACAAATTTACTTCAGTTAATTCAGAAACTACAAAACCCCAGCTCATTTGAAAATTTAATTAAAATCTATATTTAGTGCACTCAGAAATTTAGAAAATGCCGTCAGAGATAATGTTATGTAAATATAATTACTAAGAATCAAGTTCAAGTATGTTTATTGAGATAAGAAAGAAATACATCTCAAAGGGATAGAGTAGCTTAGGCTATTTCTACCCCCCATTACTAAGAATCTTATGAATTAAAGAAGGGAGACGATTGTATTGAAATCTCTTCACGGCCGTAGCTTGGACGAGCAGAGCCTGAATATGGGTTGGGGTCAGCTGGAGCTTGGAGGAGCATTGCTTGAAGTCAGGTTGGATGGGAAACTTATAAATTCATTTAACTGAACTGTCGTCAGTAAATTTATTGCCTTTCAGTTTATACTCTTTCGATTATTGTCAGGTGAACTTTAAAAATAAATATTCGATTTACAACGCTTAAATATGGTTTACATCCGTTTTTTATATATATGTGTGGAATTTTAAATCAATAATAATGATTATAAAGCATTTTTTGTAATTTGTTCCGCTCTTATAGAAAGAGAACCGAGGAGACGTGGCGTAGTGTAAGCGACCTCACTCTCAGTGTTTACATAGCCAGCGTGGCTGTCCTCTCTCCTGCTGTTCCCGTTTATTTTACGCTTACTGCTGTTCAATTCTGGTAACTAGCAGCACATGAGTGACAGGGGATCATAGTGCCACCCTTGTGTTCAAAGAGAGCTAGGAGAACCATCAGTTTAGAGGCGAAAATTAGTGTTAAATCCGTTTGGGGGTTGGAGAATGGTTTGCGGGCGTAGCCTGTGCTCTCTGCCTGGTGCCTGTGACGGAACAGTTATTAATATTTAATTATTAAGAGCGACAACAGCACAGGAGCAAGAGATGATCTTGGAGATGACAGGAGCAGCATTATCTTGAGATGATGTGTGACCCCTCAATTAAGTGCTTCAAAATTTATGAAAAAGACTGACATTATATTCTATAAACTGAGAAATTGTTTAGTATTTCCATTTAAGATCAATTAGATAAGAACACGCCTGTCAGCTTGAAGATTAAGCATAAAGTATTCTCATTATTTAAGTACTTTAAGAAATAGTTTGTTGAGACTTCAGAGGTGTTAAACTTTACCGCAAGGAGTGGGTGGTTTGAGCGCTTGAGGTGTCGTTATAACCTGAGGAACACCAAGGTGACCAGGGAGGCAAACAAACATTTCTCACGGAAGATGATAAGGTAAGATAATCCTGCGTTAACTCGCTCTTCGCTGCTATTTCTGGTAAGTACAGCTGTATTGCATTGTATGATAATGTATTTTGGATATATATCCTATTTGCTGGCGGATAGGACACATGTTTAAAGTCTAACACTATCACATGCATAAATCACATTTTATTCTTCAAAACCATATATATTTTTCCCTACAAAACTACATGAACATCAGTGTCAATGAATGAATGATTAAACATGCTAAAATATTGTTGTCCACGAAATATTCTTATAAACTTATATACGCCGGCAAAAGTGGTAATTAGATTTTATTTATTCGAGGAAAAAAGCCTCTCATTATGGCTAGTGAATCTTATGGTCAATTGGTTTTAAATTTACGGTTTATCGGTTGGTCTGGGTTGGCATCCCTTGAATCGAGTACACTGTGGCACAGTGCCAAAGGCATCCCCAGGACGATTCTTTGCTCTTGCATTCTAGCTCAACTCTTGATTTGATCTTACTATATCGTAAAATATTATACTCTAATCATCCCAAATTAAAAAACAACATTTTATCAACATACTCGTTGAAAACCTGAAGAAATTTTGACGATGTCAGGAGTTTTATTTCTTGAGATATTACTCGGTGTCAGTTATTAATATTGAATGTTCTGAGAGAGGGAGAGGGAGAGAGAGAGAGAGGGAGGGAGGGAAGGAGGGAGAGACATACTGCACAACACAGGCTCCAGTACTCCACATACTACCACACAACCACATATTCCAGCACTCCACATACTACCGCACAACCACATGCTCCAGCACTCCACATGCTCCAACACGAAACTGCTACTTTTCGTAATTTCCTGGAGAAAAAAAAGCTCGAGTGAACGGAACACTGAGGAAGACGAACAATGGAACTGCTATTCAAGTGCAGGCTTCGAGCTCCATCGTGTCATTTCCACAAATTATTATTCTCTTTTGTTATTTATTGGTTGGGTTGAGGAGAGCCAGCTGGGAGTTGAGTGGAGCCAGTTGGGAGTTGAGGAGAGCCAGCTGGGGGTTGAGTGGAGCCAGCTGGGAGTTGAGGAGAGCCAGCTGGGAGTTGAGGAGAGCCAGCTGGGAGTTGAGTGGAGCCAGTTGGGAGTTGAGGAGAGCCAGCTGGGAGTTGAGGAGAGCCAGCTGGGAGTTGAGTGGAGCCAGTTGGGAGTTGAGGAGAGCCAGCTGGGGGTTGAGTGGAGCCAGCTGGGAGTTGAGTGGAGCCAGCTGGGAGTTGAGGAGAGCCAGCTGGGAGTTGAGGAGAGCCAGCTGGGGGTTGAGGAGAGCCAGCTGGGAGATGATTGAGAGTGAGCTGAGAAGAGCACATGATAGTAGTAACAATGAACACTGTGGTGTGCAGGATGTTGTTGAGGTTACCAGAGGGTACGGTGAGGGTTATTGATCTTGGTCCTAGGAAGGTGAGGGTTATTGATCTTGGTCCTAGGAAGGTGAGGGTTATTGATCTTGGTCCTAGGAAGGTGAGGGTTATTGATCTTGGTCCTAGGAAGGTGAGGGTTATTGATCTTGGTCCTAGGAAGGTGAGGGTTATTGATCTTGGTCCTAGGAAGGTGAGGGCTATTGATCTTGGTCCTAGGAAGGTGAGGGTTATTGATCTTGGTCCTAGGAAGGTGAGGGTTATTGATCTTGGTCCTAGGAAGGTGAGGGTTATTGATCTTGGTCCTAGGAAGGTGAGGGTTATTGATCTTGGTCCTAGGAAGGTGAGGGTTATTGATCTTGGTCCTAGGAAGGTGAGGGTTATTGATCTTGGTCCTAGGAAGGTGAGGGTTATTGATCTTGGTCCTAGGAAGGTGAGGGTTATTGATCTTGGTCCTAGGAAGGTGAGGGCTATTGATCTTGGTCCTAGGAAGGTGAGGGCTATTGATCTTGGTCCTAGGAAGGAAGGTGAGGGTTATTGATCTTGGTCCTAGGAAGGAAGGTGAGGGTTATTGATCTTGGTCCTAGGAAGGTGAGGGTTATTGATCTTGGTCCTAGGAAGGTGAGGGCTATTGATCTTGGTCCTAGGAAGGAAGGTGAGGGTTATTGATCTTGGTCCTAGGAAGGTGAGGGTTATTGATCTTGGTCCTAGGAAGGTGAGGGCTATTGATCTTGGTCCTAGGAAGGTGAGGGCTATTGATCTTGGTCCTAGGAAGGTGAGGGTTATTGATCTTGGTCCTAGGAAGGAAGGTGAGGGTTATTGATCTTGGTCCTAGGAAGGTGAGGGTTATTGATCTTGGTCCTAGGAAGGAAGGTGAGGGTTATTGATCTTGGTCCTAGGAAGGTGAGGGTTATTGATCTTGGTCCTAGGAAGGAAGGTGAGGGTTATTGATCTTGGTCCTAGGAAGGAAGGTGAGGGTTATTGATCTTGGTCCTAGGAAGGTGAGGGTTATTGATCTTGGTCCTAGGAAGGTGAGGGTTATTGATCTTGGTCCTAGGAAGGAAGGTGAGGGTTATTGATCTTGGTCCTAGGAAGGAAGGTGAGGGTTATTGATCTTGGTCCTAGGAAGGAAGGTGAGGGTTATTGATCTTGGTCCTAGGAAGGAAGGTGAGGGTTATTGATCTTGGTCCTAGGAAGGAAGGGACACCGACTGCCTCAAGGTCCTCTGATCAAAGGCAGTCAACAATCTCTCAAGTCTAAGGTCTAGTGAAGTATGTTCATGTATAGGCTCACATTCAAGTTCTATTCGGCCAAAAAAGCGTCAAACCCAATTAAAGATGAAGTACCATTAAAAAGTCAACAGATTTAGGTTTGGTGAAATAAGACATTTAGCAGTTGGTGAAATTTATGATGAGGTGAGCTAGACTCATCAACACGCCTTCAAATCAAGAGTCTAGTGATCCAGATATCTTTGGTGGCCAAGGTGGATGCGTTAGACTTGTTGCTTTGTTTTGTCTCCGGAGAGAGTGTGGCTATCTTTGTGTCTCTTGGAGGAAAGAGAGAGAGTGTGTGTGTGTGTGACTGTCAACACCGCAAAGTTTAGTTTGGCGTTTCTTTACACTTCTACACTACAACTTGTGTATTAAACCTGCGTGTCTGTATTACTGAGTGTTTTCTGCCTCGAAAATCGTGTTACCCGACGATCCTTACAAGAGTATGGTGACGTCTGTACAACAATACACACACTGACTTGCTCTATATAACAGTTTACACTAAGGTGCGTATGAGTGCGAAACATGTTGATCTGACGATGCGCCGCTGGAGGACGAGAGCACAGCTACCTGAGAGCACTCACGCTAGATAATGGTAGCATAATAACTGACCCGCCATATCGTCCCTCACTCCATCATCCACAAGGTGACTTCCAGTCCTGCCCGGCGGGTCGTCACTGGGGGAGGGAGGGGTAGGGAAGGACCGGGGATAGAGAGGGGAGGGGTTGGAAAGGGGGAGGGAAGCAGGGAGGGGGGCAGGCGGGTGTTGGGATGGAGGAGGCGGGCAGGGGCAACGCCCCCATCCCCCCTCTCCAAAAAACAAGGTAGGGATGGAGGGGCGGGTAGGGTTATGGATGAAAGTGGAGGAAGGAAAATTAATACAGTGGAAGGGGGAAGAAAGGTTAACCTTCCTCATATATTAACCAATATATATATATATATATACTTAAAGCATCCAAACTGTAGCAAGCAAAATTCTTCCGTGTGATTTATTGATTTTTTTTAGCAGCACGTATGTCATCACGTCAGGAAGGAAGAGTCCCACTTCCTTCCCACAGCACACTTGTACCCAGTGTTACCTGTCATACGTATAGTGTGTTACAATTCCTATCTGTGTTGGGAGTCATTCTGTGGTGAAAACGTAACCAGAGAGCCCTCCTGTGTGACTCCCAGCATGGGGAGGAGGCCATTGTTGTAATATATGTTGGTGAAACTGGTACACGAAGATGTTTGTGAGGTATATGGAGTGTATAGTAACCAGGCGTCAAGATTTTCCAGAAGGACAATGTTTCTTGGGGGTCTAGCTACCCCACAACCAGTGGTGGAAAGGTTGTGGGATTTGTTACTTGGGGCGGCGGCCGCCATCTTGGAAACGCTCTGGATGAACGTGTGTGAGACACGTACTGTTTTATACAAGGCCGTGAAACATTATTGTGTGTGTCTTATAACCAATTGCTCGGTTCTTATTTTATTAATTACAAAGTCTAAAGTCAGACCAACTTGTATAATTAAGGGAAAGAGTATTATTTAATTTAAAAAGAGTTCTCCTCATATTAATGTGCCTTATATATTTAAGGCTGCCTTAACTGTCATTCCAGGTAGTATATGTATTCTTCCGAGAAGAATGAAGGCAGTTGAGTTCTACTCTACCGGACAATTGCTGTATTGCTGACCTCTAGTTATTTTTCTTATATTGCCCTAATTGTATTGTCTTGTTATTGTTCATATTCATGCAATTGCAGTGATTCTGGGCAATTGTGATAATGTGTAGGAGTGTCTCTCAGTCTCAAACGGGAGCCACTTGTCTCGCAAGGAAGGAATTACAGATCTAAGGGGAAGGAATTTTAACTAGGGTAGAAATTCGAGAAAAAGTTCAGTCTGAGGAGAAACCTAAAATAGGAAAGAATGTACTCTGAATACTGTATATATATATATGTCGTACCTAGTAGCCAGAACTCACTTTTCAGCCAACTATTCAGGGCCCGATTTGCCTAATAAGCCAAGTTTTCCTGAATTAATATATTTACTATAATTTTTTTCTTATGAAATGATAAAGCAACCCTTTTCTCTATGTATGAGGTCAATTTTTTTTTATTGGAGTTAAAATTAACGTAGATATATGACCGAACCTAACCAACCCTACCTAACCTAACCTAACCTATATTTATAGGTAAGGTTAGGTTAGGTAGCCAAAAAAAGCTAGGTTAGGTTAGGTTAGGTAGGTTAGGTAGACGAAAAAACATTAATTCGTGAAAACTTGGCTTATTAGGCAAATCGGGCCTTGAATAGTATTTAATTTATTATTATTTAATTTATTATTATTTATTGAATAATTACCGATAAATA